TTAATTTTTTCTATTATAATTCATAATTTTATTTGAATTTATTTCATTGTGTTACATTTATTTTTTCATTGATCGTAGAGAACCCCGAATGCATAGTGTTGCTCACAGGCAACAAACTTAAAGTACTTATTTTGGGGGACTTAAAATTTCAAAAAAAATTTTTCTTTGTTTTTCTCTAATTAAGAGTTACATAAAGGAACAATAGAAAAATAATATTTAAAAAAAAAAATCACGCATTGTAGTTGTAGGGGTTAAAATTTGTTATGTTATGCACGTAGAAAACGGAGACAACAAATATCAGTGTAACGCCATCTTAATAAAAAAAAATACGAGATTCAATAAGTCGTTTTAATAGAAAAAACACATTTTAAACTTTAAAGTAACTCGCTTCCCATAGAATTTTCCGGCACACAATGGTATTATACGGTAGTTCGTAGTACATCGAATAATCGTTTCATATCAATCATAATACATATCAAATGTACTTTATAAGTGATTTAAATATCTAAGGAGGAAAAGGAAACAGTATACAACTGTATAACCTAGTTAATTTTTTTTTAAACCATAAAGATCAAGAGTCTTGAATCAAGACAAATAAATATATACCTAAATGCAATGAAACCTATAATCATTTTATAAGATAATGACGAGGTAAGAGCCATAGATCTATAATATTTTATAGGTCTATAGTAAGAAGAGCACAGTCAGTGCACAGCTGAATTATTGAGTAAGAGCAGCTGCTGTTATCGGTGCGACGGTTATAAATATGTGTAGTTCGCACTTTGGAAACCAATCATAGTTCCGCCCGAATTCGATATAGTTCACTATCGGATAACTGATAAGAGCRTTTAATGTTTATCAAGATATTGATTCCGTCGACGGCTCCAATTGAACAACTTGGACACTTGGTGAACTTTTACAAWTTACAGTCGGCATTCGGCGTTACTTGTTTAGTTGTATCAGGGTTTCGCTCTTATTTCATTCTGAAATTTTGACGTTCTCGGCACTCCAACGTCACTGACATGTTCAACTTGTACAAACAAATATTCGCTCTTGGTATACTGTCGTTACTGCATGCAGCGTATTCAGCGGCTCAGCGTAAGTACAAAAATTATCCAATAAAGTTGTAAGTTCCTTAACAATGCATTAACGATTATCTATCTGGATCCATCGCTTTMACCAAAATAAATCAATTTGTAWTGATGAAAAAAAATGACGATTTGCAATGAATAATGAATTTTTATAAATTGCCATGTTAAACAGTTTTCCTCTAGTTATATTGTTTCTCATTCTAAATCGTTCAAACATTATATGTATTTCCCGTATTTTTTAAATTTCTTTTCAACAGTAGTTTATTTAAAATGGCCTGTCAAAATCACTTTCTTATTATTCAAGAATGTATTTCCATTTTTTTTTTCAAATTTAAAAGCATATTTGTTTATTTATTTATAAAATAAGTATTGAAAGTAATGTGATTGATTGCAATAATTGCATTTTTGTAATTTACATAAGTATTCAAGTTGGATTTAACTATATAAACATAAATCCTTCAATAGCTAAGTAAATTAGAAATGGAAAATAAAAAGCGATATCTACCTTTTTGCGTRACAATGTGACTCCTGAAAAATGCCCTTATTATCATTTTAAACTATGAAATTTAATATCATACATATTATACCATATCATATAGCTTAAGAAATATTTTTTGAATACAAAATGTTTCATTGTGATGTATGCTATATTAGAACCATAGGCGTGTSCAGACCTTTTTGGCAGGGTGGGCCAATTCAATTATAATTTAGATACTTCAAGAGATACTTTAAAATATTTAATCAATTACATTTTTGAATTTTAAATCCATTAAATTAATTATTATAATTGAAAATTGTAATTTGTAATTGTATTATTTAATTTTCATGACAAAAAATTATCAGGTCACAATATATATACAGTTYGGCTTGCAGGGTGGCCACCTGGCCCACCCMGTGCACACACCTATGATTAGAATAGAGATAACTACTTAAGGTTCACTATATGGGTGTAACATCCTCATAAGGTTATTGAATACTGCTCTGCTAGCGATCAAAATATTGAGTTATTTTAGATTCTGAGCAAGTGAAGGAATTTCTTGATTTTACATTTTGATGTTTTTTTTTCTTTTGGAGCAGTAAAATGAAAGAAGAGTGATTTAATCAATCTGGACAATTTCAATCAGTAAAAATTAAATAGTTTATTGAAATAAAAGTATAAATTACAAATTTATATATATTGCTTCAATTATAATCTTATGATAAAAAGGTATACCAAAATAATTAAACCAAATATACTGATTAAGCCTTTCAATTTTGATATTGTCAGTGTAGGAATTTTTTCCTCGGGCTAATATATAAAAGTTCATGTACATGGAAATACTRTTGATAGAGGTTATTAGTACATGTTTAAATTAATCAATTTTTGAATTTATTGATAAATCTTATTTTTATCTAGAACATTTTAAACCTGTCATTAATAAAAATAACTGTTTTTTATTCCCTCTCGGAATTTAATTATTCACAAATCTTTTTAACAAAACCATAAAGTGGCAATGTCTTATTKCACCTCCAGTTTATGGTCAACATTGCAAAATCTGAAATAACTATCAATACACATAAAATATTCTAACATATCCTAACATAAAAAAACCAAATTATATGAAGAACATTGAAAAGTATCTAAAATCGTAGAATAAATGAGGAAAGATAAGAAAATTGACTATTGAGGAAATTGAAAAAAWTTGCACATAATCATTTTAGATTTTAACTTAAATTTGCTGAAAAACAAATTTAAAACATATACTTACCTAAATTTCAAACGGTAGAAAAAAAGTTGGAAATTCAATAACATTTGAGCCTTACATATAATATACTAAATTTTAAGTTCAAWATATTTTTCTCTGTTTTGAATATGAGAACAAATTTATCTATTTTCTAATTGTGGGTAAGAACTAGGTATCATGTAGGACAGAAATGTATATCCATAGCTTATATGCAATAATTAGTATTGTTTTTTTATTATTATTTAATCTCTTAATAAATACAATTAAATTAAAAATTTTTTATTTGTATTCCTATTTGTAATTATAAGTATACATTAAGTCAATAATGATCAATAGTTTTTGACGTGTATCATTAGAATGATTTTCCATCCCTGATCTAAGGGTTCATAAAATGTTTTTAATATTGTAGTTAAAAATTTGAAATACAATGTAACAACAAAAACCAAGGTTTTGAATTTTAAAACTTTAGAAAGATAACAAATATTGTTTTATTTTACAGATCGATCTTATTTACGAATAACGGAACAAGAATTTGATGGATTGCCATTTGATGTAAGCCATTAAATATTTAATTGCATAATAATAATTACTATCATTTCTTCATTATTATAATATCATAATTGTTTGTTTCAGATATTTGTGCAAGGTGTAATCAGTCTTTTTATATCAATGTATGGAATATTGTACTTGGCAGGCGATTTTAAAGAAGTGAGAGCTATTGAAGAATTGGAATGCAAGACATGGGAGACATTACATAACACACCTGCATTTTATATATTTAATCACAGGGGTAAAACTCTGTTCTCTAATAAGTTTTAATTAATTGGTAAAAATCCAAGAAACTGAGAATGTCATATTTCAAAACTTGGAATGGATTTTTTTTATTTTGGTATTTATTTAAGATGTTGTGTATATAATTTTACTTAACAATATTATATTCACTTATTTTAAATATATTTGCGGTTGCTTCATTTAATTATAAAATACTTAAATTAGATTGTGGCTAATTAAGATATAGCTTAAGACAAATTCATTTTATAYTTAAAATATTATTGAAATTTAAAATAAAATAAGTAGACACACTATGTTCTTATTTTCTTTACAAGTGGTTTTGTATGGATGTTTACAATTGTATGATAAGTAAAATTAATTCATTGAAAAAATAAATTAAAATCATAATAAATTAAAATGTTGTGTTAAATTCTCAGAATTATCTTATATTTTTATATTTCCATTAATAATATAATACTTAAATGTAAAATAGGTGATAACAATAGTAAGTTTAACTTGCTGGATACTCTATTTTATTTTAATTATATAGGCTAAAAACTTATATTGTTTTCAGTCTTTCATAAATCACAAAAAATATTATGTTCCATGGTCCCATTCGAACAAAAGTGGGAATGAAACCTTTGTACAGTGCTACAACTCCTTCATACCTAACAGTCTGAAACATAAAAATAAAATAACAACTGAATCATCAAATTTTGTACTAAATATAGGAAACATACTTTTACTAGACAATCAATGCTTCCTTTATAGATATGTTGTTGAACAAGCTCAACATTTCTATTGTGCTTTTGGTTCATCAGTCTAGTCTGAAAATGTATTTTAATATATTGAATCAAATTTAAAAATAAAAATATATTATCAACATTTTATTTTTAACTGTATTATTGTACAATGATTTTAAACCAATGTTATAAGTTATAACAAGGTAATTTTTAAGATATTCTATGCAAATCACAATTTGAAAAATATTTTAAATATTCAAATAAGCAATAGCAAGCTAGTTATGATTGGGACTTTGATATTAATGTTTATATACAGTCGCAATATCAATATATAACCAATCATACAATTTAATAAAATTATATTATAATATATTAAATTAATCAATATCAATAAAATAAAATTTCTTAAAATATTCAATTTTAATTTAGTTATCATCCAATATCCAGTAAATTGTAGTTAATAAATAGTATTATCATGCTATAAATTATTTTTATATATCCCATTCCGTGAGAGTATAGGATTGTTTCACGCATATTGTATGATTGGTGGAGATGTCAAATCTCCAAAATATAGCACACCTGGGCCTTGGGCAGTCGATTACTGGTTTTAGTCTGTGGATTGTCCAACTCTCTTGTGGAATGGAGTATGGTTATACGTTTATAAGGAAAGCAAAAATTCTGAGATTAAAGACAACTATCCTGRGTGAGGTTGTCTATATATATTATAGCTATAGTATTAATATGGATATAGCTCTTAAGGCAATCAAGATATTATACAATCCATTTCTATTGTACATTAGTGTGTTGTATCATTATATTTATTATTATTATTATTATTATTATGCACGCATTAAAATTAGTTGCCTAATTTAAATTAAATGTATCTGTATTACTTAATTAATATATTGTTGTTAAACACAAAAAAGTTAACAAATAATTACCCTGATTACGTCAATAGGATTAGAAGCAACAGCACTTCCGAAACTAGCTATAAGACTTGAGCTGAAAAAAATTAAAAAAATTTGATATTTGTTAGTCTAAAGTTCTAATACATAAATAAACTATTGTACTATTAAACTAATMAATAGTAAAAATATATTATTTATATTTATTTATTTCTAATTCCRCTATTGATTTTGAAATAAMAATTTTTTTTTTTTCYGACAACTATATTTATTTTCATAYAATAGATACAATGATACAATAGACATTAAGAACTGTTACCTATAACATAAACTTACATTAAGTGATTTACAATATGATTTCCAAGAACATCCATCAATTTGTGTTTGCAATAATCATAAACTGGCAACTCAACAGCTGCAATAATTGCAGCTCTTTGCRATGTTGGTCCAACTCCCTGATAAAATAAATGGTTCTCTATTAATTATAAATTCTTTGTTTTTAAATACTTAAAAATATAATAAATAGGCACCAAATTTTAAATTTTCAGTGAGAATAATAAAAAATAAATTAAAATTTTGAGATGGATATTTGTATTTCATTCTATTTAGAAAAATTAATTGAATCCTTAAAATAAAATACCTTAAATAAGGCATTCAATTTGTTATGAATAAATAAACACTTGCCAATTTGGGGTGGTTGTTTACATTTTCTTAATTTTCAATTTTTGAATGATTATTTAATATGTGTATAAATTGTATTACACTAGCAATAATCCAAATTCTACTGTAAGCAGTGCTCAAAAATGAAATATTGTCTAAGCTGCAGCATAATTTTTTTCCTCCAACTATACACAGTTTTAGTGGTTTGTTTCTAAAATATTGAGTATAAAATTTAATTTGTACTATTCTTATGGAAATCACCTCATACTTTAAATCACTTTTAAAATTGTAAGCTAATTTCCGCCTTTGGTACTAAGTCATAACTACACATAAATGTGTATGTGTTTTTACAATATGCCGCATTAAACATCTGTAGTGTAGTGAATGAACTTAGTGGTCATAAACATGACGTGTCATTTAGAAGCCAATATAGAAATTATTTGTATCACAACAAAAAAATTTTAATTTATTAAAACCTCATAGTCGACGGTATGAGATAAATTTGTAAAATTAGGTATCTAGACTAGGTTAAAATCTAAAAAATAATTATCAACATAATAAATCTACTGTACCTCAAATAATTTGAAGTTAGTTCTAAATAATGCAATGCATTCATGTTAATGAAACAAAAGTAAAAGCTTTCTTAAAGTATTAAACGTCAGAAATTAATTTTATCTTCAGGAAATCAAATATTTAAATTACATTAAAAAGATTCATGTATAACTTATGGTCATCAAAGTATAATTTTATATTAGCTGTTCTGTATCATTATATTAATATTTATTTAATATTATTATTAATAATTATGTTATATTTCTTAGAAGCAAAAATAAAAATAAAATATTCTAAGTAATCTGTTTTGAAACTTTTAAAAGATTTTCATTTTAAATTTTCTTAAATTCTTTGTAAAATACTAGAAACTGTAAATATTGCATCAAATGTTCTGCAGCTCCTCGACAAGCATTAAGCACAGCAGTTCCTTCGAATAAAATACAAGGAATTTTTTTAAATGGCAGTAAAAATCACAAAAAAAATCCTTACCTATGAGATGTATCTCAAAAATATCAAGGAAATAATACCAGTAGAACAATTTTATAACAAAATCCTCCAAGATTATTGCTTCAGCAGAAAAACGTTTCAATGTTTTACTAATTTTCATGACATAGTMAAAAGATTTGAAGTTATTCAACCAAATTCTGAAAAATCTAACTAAAAACGACTATTTTTTTAATTATTAAAAAGTTCATTTATTAATATTGTTAAAATTTTTCATATTATAATATTTACTTGACAAGACATTAAAAATTAAATATCAATCAATTTTTTAGCTCTCGTATTGAAGAGAAAACATATAAATATTAATAGAGTAAAAGGGATAAACAACCAGACCTATTTCTGGATTCAAATCATTATACTGCTTTAACCTTGAACATAATATTGGATATATCTCATTAATATCTTATTAAAGCTAACTTAATTACCCGCCAACTTATTTTTACTGTCTTACATTTTTATTTATTACAAACTCTTGTAACAATAAAATACAAGTTTCTTTTCCTTCCAATCATCAGTTTTACTTAATTAAAAATCAAGAAAGTAAAAATGTATATGTTAACTATTTATAAAATGTGTTTCACTCAAATGGTAACTTGAATGGGGTTTTCAAGAGTGYATATGGAATATGGAAATACATGTTTTTTGATAATTTTCAAATTTTTAACTCTAAGTATTTTCAACATCAGATTCGGATATACCAGTTTTTTCTAAGCAATTTTTATACTTACATTTTTCTTCTATCTCGAAAATTGGAAGATTTACATTGCGTGGAAGTTGAAACAATAAAGATTTTTGTTTAATTTTCAAAAATTTAAAAATGTCTGTATTTTGCCATTATAAAATTATTTTTGATTGATTAAAGGATACATGAACTTCAATTTTTTCGTTAGCTTAAATGTTTGCTTGCTGTATTGACCTCTACTTCCAAATGAACCATAAGTTCCGATTTAATTTTCAAGGCATATAAAATAGTTATGTACTGGTAGCTGGTTGATATCTGTCGGTATACCTTCAGCATGATGGGAATTTTGATGAAACTTATTAAAAATTGAAAGCATATCCAATTGTTCACTGTGATTAGCCATTTTTATATATGAATAAAAGCACAAAAATAATAAAATATTAACACGAAAATGAATAAATTATAATTCAAATTATCAGATACGAGCAAAAAATGTGTATTTCAGTATTCCATATATCCTCTTGAAAACCCCATTTCAGTCCGACTTCACTGAACAGAAATATTTAGTGTTGCCATTTAAGTGAAACACGCTGTATACTCAAGCTAATATGGTAACTTATATTAGCAGTGTATGCTGTAGATCAGTGTTTCTCAACCTTTTTGATACCACGGAACACCAAATAATAATAATATTTTTTCATGCGGAACCCCTTTGAAAGTTATCTTAAGAGTACCAGCCGCCAGCAGTCTCTCTCTCTTGCAATTTTAAGCTTTCGCGGAACCCTAGGATTAAGAACCACTGCTGTAGATCGATTACAAAACAATTTAGGTGTAGTAGCTCTCCAGCAAAATGAATGTGTATTAATTAATTTAAATTGATTAATGTGTAAATAATTATTATTTGGCCCCTACTTTCTTACATAAAAATAAAATACAAACCTTCCACAGACCTCTGAGTCCTTCATGTGCATAAATGTAACGAAAACATTTAAAAACGTTAGTATCTAAAAAAATTCCAGTTTTAACTCGACCTAAAGCCTGAAGTCTGACTTTAAGTACATCTGTAGGATTAGCAATAGATGCAGATATTATTCCAGCACATATACCACATCCAAAATTTACAGCTACATCTTSGGTCACTTTCAAATATTCATTAGTTGCTTGTTTTAATGTGTAATATGTTCCAAACTTGAGTGAACCATATGTACACTGACGTATTAATGCTGGGCTAATTCTGTAACATCAAGTTGTTTTCTTTTTTTTTTTAATTTATAAATGTTAATAATAATAATAATAAATAAATACCCAGAATAAAGTGATAAAAAACCTTCTTGTTTATAAATCTGACAAAAGGCATCTACCATTCCACGGTATTTAATTTTATTAAACTGTCCATCCAATTGCCCCTGAACTTGCAGTCTAGTCTTGGTTGTATCAATAGGAAAAGTACCTAGTAAAATAATTCAACAGTCAATAATAAGCAGTTATGTACTTCAGCTATATTCTTTTAATAACAAAAAATATAATATACAGTAAATATTTTTGTATCATAAACATATACATAATAAATTAATAACTTACTAAATTCAGCAATACAGGATGATAGACCACCATACACAAATAGTGGCCACTCTCTTTTTTCCATCACACTTAAAATAATTATCAAAATCTTTTTCTTATTCAATAACTACTGTTCAAACCTAAAACAAAAGTAAAATATTTGCTTATAAATTTTAAATAACAATTCATATAATTAATTAAAATGGCTCATGAATAATACAAATAAATAATAGCTTAAAAAAAAAAAATTCAACATGTCCAGTGTTCAGTGTTCACAGTGAATAAAATATAAAATACTAAACAAAGAACACCATAATTTCCCAAAAAATGAAATAAGTAACTTTTTATAATATTCGGATATTCCTACCTCAAGTAATTAGAAAATTTATTTTCACACAATCAATTCTTAACAGTCCTATAAACTGAAATCAAAAGTATTTAACTTATTTTTGATTCAAATTTAATAAATAAAAATCAGAAAACATTAATTTTTTATACTCAAGTAATTTTGAATTTAAGCAATGCTATGAGTATGTAAAATTAAAATATTGCAAGAAACTAACGAATAACATAGGTCTTATTTTTATCTTTAAGCTATTTTTAGTCAGTTCATAAAAGATTTTAAACAATACATAACTGGATTGTTAAACACAGAAATGTTATCAGTTCAAAAATATGGAAACAGAGGCGGTTTGGGGAGAATATGTTTGATTTGCTGCTAGTAGTATAAAAATTTAATTTTTAACCAATGATAATTGTGATTGAAATTCATTTGTTTATTAGTTTATATCTAATTTTATTAAATATTTAACTAATGGAATAAAACAGATGACAACACAGACATTTAAAACAATTAATCTACTATATCAGTGTTATCCAAGCTATTTTGACTCGCAACACAATAAGGTATTTTCTAAAAATCCAGAGGCACTCATGGGCCATGGCCTATACTCCTATACTTTTATTGTAATATTAAGCGTGTGAAGTATTTATATTTATATTTGAATCAAAATTAGTTAACACTTAACACTCATATTATTTTTCATAAAACAAACTATTACATTTAATATTAATTGWATAATTTTATATTTAATTATAATTAGGTATACTTATTATATTTAATTATAATTAGGTACACTTACTATATTATTATTTGGTAATTAAGGTTAATCAACAATTAAGTAACTGATAAACCAGTGTCTTACCTCAAGTTTCTAAGTCTTGCAGCACTAAACATAATACTTAGAAACCAACCCACCACTGCACCAGAGACAACACATACTAGTATACCCTCTTAAGTATTTTGGTTACAAAATATCTACCCCTATTCTTATCAGTATTTATAACCTCCCATCATCATCTCATTTTATATATTTTAATGATAAATACATACTTATGCTCCAGGTTCTTTTGAAAATAAAACTAATAAGCTGTATTGAAGTCTTAAAGTTTTTTTTTTTTATAGATTAAATAATTTTGTTAGAAAATAATTATAAATACACACCTTTTAATAATTTTAGTTGCAAATAGACCTCACAAATAAAAATTAGATTGATACCTAGTTAAATATTTTTACTATTAACGTTTTTCTTAAAATTAGATTTACAAATTGGCTAATTTGATTTCTTCCAAAGAAAATTAACCTAATTACAAATTTTAATTTAGATATGTATCTTTATTTTTCCTGATTATTTTAATCCTCTCGAAAGTAATAACTAGATCCAATCTTTTTACAAAAACTTCCGTCAAAGTTAATGATGGAGCATATTTTTCCAATAGAAAAGTTGAGAAGTTGAAGTTGTACAAAAATTTAAAATACCTTACTTAAGCACGTTTTATTAGACTGGACAAAACAAAAATAAAATTGTAATCAATTTTCCAGCCCACCCATTGTAAAATCCTGRAGCTCCCGAATCATTAATGACAACAAAATTTTATGTTAAGAAGGTGAAAAAGGGTGTGTTTAGAATGTACATTACTCACAAATTATCTAAAGGTGCAATTACACAATTTCTTTCAAAAATTCTTGGTTTCAATATTGTTACACAAAAATAGCTGCCATCATCATTATTATATTTATTTGATTTATTTTTCAGTACCATTGATAACATGACCAACACTCATAATGTTCTTTAAATCTGTGACAACAGTTTGAATACCTCTRTATCATAACAACCACTATAGGAATGAAATGAAAAATATCTTTAAGAGCATGTTTAAAGCCATAATTTAACAAAAAAAATCCAACTTGCTAACCTCTTACAACATAATATCTATGAATGATGAATTCATAGTAGCTAATTATTTTGTTAAATTGCGTTTTAAATTAACGTTATATGATCAGTACAACCAGYACAACCAGATGGGTAAAAAGTGAACTCAACTGCTTGATTAAGACATGATCAAATAAAAAAACTAGGTCAGTAGTTGAACATTTACTTTAGATCATAATGAATAGGCAATTAAATATGTAGGTACAAAGTGTTACCAGTAAGTTTGTTTCAGGTTTCTGGCGATATAATGTGTTCACAAATAAACGGTTAATCGAAGCAATGTACTTCTCAAAAAAAAAAAAAACAAATGGGTAGCAATGAGATAGACATTAGACGATAGTTACCTTCAACCGTTAAACTTGATCTAACGTTTTGTACGGAATACTAGAATATAGCATAATATAACAACAGTATACAGTTGGTGGTTTGGTTGTTGCTCTAAGACAATATTTTGGTTGTTTCATAAAAATTAAAAATTAAAATGATTGTGTACATCTCGGCCGGTACTTTAGAATTTAGATAACGAACAAACTTAACTGATAACAAGGTAAATGGTAAATACGCACCAGCTATAGTATTATAATAGTACTCCGCCAAATGAATAGCAAATCGCTAATTCAACATTCAGCGAATGGCAGAAATTCTTCCATTATCTTTCGACATAATAATGTTTGTTAATTTGTTTCGACTCTGTTGCCACTGAACTCTACGTCTTTACTTTACTCGTCTACAATTCTACGACGTCTGAAAACGTCGATAAAAATATAATTATCACGAACAACAGAGTTATCCAAATCCAATTACAGTTTTTTATAAATTGTTTATAATCGGCGATTACCGAGTAATTTTACCACGAGACATGAGTCGAGYCGAGTCATGGCCGTCGTTTTAACGACCGCCGCGATAAACTATTTCACGAAAATAATAAAATCAAAAACATAATAATATGGAACAAGTCTGCGCTGTTGATGCCGACTGCTAACAGGCCTGACATAGTGCGCAGGACGACCTGTTATTGAACAATCTGTTTCCTTGCGACCAGGAGTTCTATACAAATCATATTTAATTTTATAATTTTGGCGCAAATTTGCAATTATTGAACTATCGTTTTTATCGAAAGCCCCTTTTGCGCAAAATTTACTTGCGTATAAACTTTACGCCTCAGCGATTCCCAAACGGTGCAACGCGATCACTTTCTAAGGACACTKCGGCCTACGGCTCGAAATAAATGATTTAAAATGTATAGAATTTTTTTTCCGACAATTTTGTTATTATTGAGAATTCTTTTGTCTTGTATTTCGTCGTATTCATAGCAAGGCACCGCGGAAAAAATATTATAAAAAAAGTATAAATAAATGTTGGCATATGCTATGATTTCTATGGCGTAATGAATTAAGTGGCGTCATTTAAGGCGATCAAGATAATATGCGTTTTCCTATGTCTGATTGTATCCAATATTATTGAGCCGGTTGTGGCAAAATAACGTAATACTATAATATTTTTTTCTAATTTTAAAGAAATATAATACTGTTTAAGCACTAAAAAACTATTGTAACGATAATAGTTAATATTTATAGTTTTTTAAATTAAATACACATAAACGCTGAAACTCTAGGAATTCTAAAAACAAAACGATCACATTTCAAGTTATCCGTGCTCTCGAAAAAACCACCATAATAGAAGATAMCTACCTAATTTAGTAYTTAKTACCGATAATATTATCATTAAACTTTTAGTAGGTACGTTTTAGTAGTTATTTTTCATATTGTAATTTAATCCGTTGAATTCCACTAGAAAAATATTAAAAAACACCACTAAGGTTTATCATAATTTTTTAACTCCTGGCGTCTTTTTTAATCTAAAGTAAAAATAATTTTGCCTTGAACTAGGATACGTATATAAATAAAGTTTTATTAGACGGGACACGGGAATATTGTTAAGATAAAACTTTTAACTGAAATTAGCTTGCGAACCTTTTTTTCTTCGATTCAGTAATATTAATTATTATATCACTATCACAGAGACATAGAACAATATATGGGCTGGTCAAAACTTTTATCCCCTCCTATTAAAACTAAAATCACAYGCTGATTAAATTCTTTAAAGAGATTTAATCGATATGTATTAAATGAGAGGAAAACTAGTTAATATAATTAATTACCATTAAATACAAATAAATGTTGATTTGGTTGCCTATCTAGCGCCTGGTTCCATCATATATGGAATATAATAATTTTTTTTAACCAGCCGCCTTATTCAAATTCATGTATACTATATAGTAACAACTAACAACTATGAATTTATACAGTTTACATGCCATAATTTAGTGAATATCCGATGTGAAAATAAATTAAATCTACTGTAGTTCTATTGACTATTAGTAAAATTGATTACTTTAATCACAATTCACAATAATATCATAAAATATAGGTAGGTATAGGCTGACAAACCGTCTTCGCTCGAAAACAATGAATTATTATGTTATATCGTTTAATTCAAATTTATCACATTCATTACAGTGACTCTCTAGAATCTAGACACATAATGTACAGCAGAGTTAAACTGCTTTTTTATATATTATCATCTTCAAATAAATCGGTTTAAAAAATTCGTTTTCAAAAAAGCCATCTGTCTAAAAATGTACAGCGAAAACAGGGCAAGTTTTATCACTCACCAAGGGGAAGGAGGGCTAATTGGGGCTCTAGAATTTACGTARTTGTATTTGAATCTATATAAAATTTTAATTAACATAATATGTTTTTACTAACATATAAATCAAATAACCTCATCCTTATTTTCAAAAATCATAAAAATTCAAATTTTGACACAGTTCGTGAAAAAAACACGATTATTTTTTAGTTAACAATTCATACAATTATTTTCAATTTTAATAGTTACGGCTTGAAAATGAAATTGGTTTCTTTTATGTTGTTCTTATTGCAGAAATTTAAAATTATATCGAAATATCGAATACCTACATAATATTATATATAATTTATATATATACAAATTTGTATAGGAATTTTATGAACAAATTCCGATGAAATTGGTAGTAACGAAATACATTTTAGTTATTWTGTTGCAGTTCAAAAAATATTGATCGAAAACACTTGAAACTTTTCGCTATTACAATAAGTGGACTAGGTCATTAACATAATTGAACATTTGGTATAAATATATTTTATACATTTTTTTTTTTTTGGTTAAATTAAAACAAAATAATAAATATAAATATAAGATAGAAATTTGATAGAAAAATAAGGTATTAGTTTAATTTATTATTAATCCTTTTTGGAAATGCATTTTAGATTAGGTGGTTTAGATATTCTTATAAAAAAAAAAAATGGTGGACACTGTTATATCACAAAGTAAATTATATTTTCCATTTTTATTAGATAAATGTGACTGTTAATTATTACACGTAATGTATGTGTAGCAAGGATTTGTTAAAAGTCACCCATCCAGGTGCTAGCAACACCGGCACCAGCCGGTGTATACGGTGGTATACGTACCAACTCAGAACGATTTCCCAGTTGTGAGCGTATGACTGCGCCATTTATGATTTTGACAAGGGGGAGAATTTCGATAGCAAACGTTTAATTTCTCAAAGAGGAGTGGATAGTTCGYTTACCATCGACATCACAACATTATAAAATATGTAACAAATAAGAGACGAAGGGATATATATCCCCCATATTCTCCCGTAAACGTAAATTCATCACTGTTATTTATATATATAATAAATTAATAAATAACAATATAATTATTCAACTTATAACCTAATTAATAGATAACTACTTTAAATTAGTACATTATTGATTGTTAATATATCAATATATGTATATTTATTTGATTATCTACAATATGAATCTATTAACACTTATTACTTTATTAGATTCTAGATATCATTACAGCATTTTTRATTCCAACTATTATCAATTAAAAATCAAAATTAAAAATTAATATGTTTTTAATTATTATTAACAACTTTATTAAAAATTAGTTAAGTAATTCAAAATAAAAAATACTRTACTACAACAATGAAGAGTTTTTCTAAGAATGTATAATGCATATCTACGASTACATATTATATTATTATTATGTAGGTAACCTTATTAGCTCAGCTTTGATCTCAGTTGTGTACTACAGAATTAACTAACAGTTAATTTATAATGTTTAATTCATATTGTCTTTTACAAATCACCCTATTTATAATTGGTTTAAACAAATGTATAAATGAAGGGGTAGACAGAGAGTCAATGATTCATTTGAACAAATGTATAAATCAAAATATTGATATCAAAAAATAGTATCCAGTCAAAATTTTTAAACAAATTTAAATTGTTTAAAAGTAGTAYTTTAGTTCCAGTAAGTAAAAAAAAAATAAAAAAATAAGTAATGCTTTCTTTAAATATCCAAATTTTATGTACAAATGCTTCTGTAATACCTACCTATATCAACATCTATAATGCATCTATTACAAAAGAGGAAAGGTGTTAGAACTTGTACCTCAAGATGAAATAAACATAGATGATATTAATTTGATTGAATTTGAACCTCTCGAAGATGTAAATAATGATGCCACTAATACGTACCATAATCCTGTTCAGACATCACGGCAATCTTCCAAAGTAATAAATTAATAATATTTGATTTAAAGGTAGGTTAATAGGTTATATAGTAAAATGTAGCTGTTGTTAAAACTCATTGTCCTTCTTAAAACTCCTTAAACAAAATATAAGAATTAAAACAAATTTGAATTATTATAATAATAATATTTATAAATATTACAATGTACAAGACATAGTAAATCTATCATCATTATATGTATAAATAAAACTGAAATAGTGCATAATGCATATATAAATTAATTTAAACATTTCAATAAGCATAATAATATACATAATATGTACATAATGTCGAAAATGTTCAACTGTTTAATATAAATATT